ATGTTTTTGTCAGCTTTGTCAAAGATTAGATTACCATATGCAGATGGTTTCATCTCTGGATTCTCAGTCCTGTTCCAGAGGTCAATGTCTCTGTTAAAAGTACTTAATTTTTATTTTGCCTTCTTCATTTACCCAAAGACTATTGGGGAAACACACTTTTTAATTTATATGTGTTTGTATATTTTTGAGAGTTCCTCTTGGAATTTATTTCTAGTTTTATTCAACTGTGGTCTGAGAAGGTAGTTGATATGATTTCTATTTTGTAAAGTTTATTGAGCCTTGTTTTATGGCCTAACGTGTCTATCTTGGAAAGTGATCCATCTGCTTATGAGAAGAATGTATATTGTGTAGTTTTGTGGTGAAATATCCCATAAATGTCTGTTAGGTCCATTTGTTCTAGAGTTCAGTTTAAATTTGGTGTTTTATTGTTGATTTTATAACTTAATAATCTGTCTAGTGCTGTTAGTGGTGGGTTAAGTCCTTGGATATTACTGTATCCTTATCTATCTCATTTCTTAGGTCTCTTAGTGTTTGTTTTATAAATCTGGGAACTGCATAATATGCCCATATGTAGTTATCGTTGTTATAGCTTCTTGTTGAATTGATCCCATTGTCATTATATAATGACCTTCTGTATCTTTTTCTCTTGATATTGACTTAAAGTCAGTTTTATCTGACATAAGAATACCTACTCTTCCTTGCTTTTGGTTTCCATTTGTGTGGAATATTTTCCCACTCCGTTACCTTAGTCTACAAAGATCATTACAAGTTAAGTGGGTTTCATGATGGAATTAGATTTGTGGATTGTGTTTTTTTTATTCATTCCACCAATGTATATGTTTTAAGTAGGGCATTTAGTCCATTTAGATTCAACGTTAATATTGATATATGAGATATTGCTTCAGTAATCCTGTTGATTGTTACTTAGTTGTTTTGTATTCCCAATGGTGTTACTATTTGTAAGCCCTATGAGTTTTATAATTTTCAGTGTTTTTAAACTGGCATGTATCAACCTTTTATTTTGATGTTTAGAATTTTTGTTGACCATTTATTGTAAGATTAACCTGGTGGTGACAAATTCTCTTAGCATTTGCTTGTCTGGGAAAGATTTTATTTCTCCTTCATTTATGAAACATAGCTTTGCAGCACACAAAATTGTTGGCTAGTAGTTATTCTGTTTCAGAAGGCTAATAAGAGGATGCCAATCGCTTCTGGCATGTAAGGTTTCTGCAGAGAAGTCTGCTGTTAATCTGATGGGATTTCCTCCACAGGTTATTTTATCCTTTTGTCTCACTGCTCTTAGCAGTTTTTCCTTCATGTTGACTCTAGATAATCTGATGAGAATGTTCCTTGGAGAGTCCTTTTTGCAATGAATCTTCTAGGAGTTTGCTGAGCTTCTTGAATCTGGATGTCCAAATCTCGGGTAAGACCAAAGAAATTTTCCTCAATTATTCCCTCAAATAAGTTTTCTAAACTCTTTACTTCTTCTTGTTCTTTCTCAGTATTACCTATGATTCTTAGGTTAGTAAATTTTATATAATCCCATATTTCTTGGAGATTTTGTTCATTTCTTTTTATACTTTTTTCCTTAGTTTTTGGTTAATTCAAAAGCCTTGTTTTTGAGTTCTAGAATTCTTTTTTCTGCTTGATGCAGTTTATTGTCAAAAATCTCCACTGTGTTTTGTAATTCCTCAGGTGTGTCTTTTATTTCCAGAAGTTCTGTTATTGTTTTTAATTATCTATCTCTTTAGTGAATTTTTTATTCATGGCTTAAATTATTTTTTTAGTTTTCGTTGGTTTTCAACTTTCTCTTGGGTCTCATTTACCTTACAATCCACATTTTGAATTCTTTATGTGTCATTTCAAATTTCTCTTTTTTTGGGATGCATTGCTGCAGAGTGAATGTGATCCTTTTGGGGTATAAAAACTGTTTATTTTTCTTTTCACATTGCCAGAGTTCTTATGTGGTTCCTTGTCATCTGAGGAAGATGTCGCCTCTTGTTTTTGAATTTACTTTTGTTTGGATAGGACTTCTTCTTTTTTAGTCTTTTATTCATTATATTTTTCTCCCTTGAGGGAGTGAGTATACTCTACATTGTGTTTGGCTGTTTGACTGTGATTTTGGGTGACTGTGATTTCAGGGGCCAAGGCTCGGTATGAGTTCCTTGGTTATATACAGCCTTTGTACAGTGGCTTTCCCAGATACTGATTGTGGTACAGATGTACTGGGCATGTGAACAGGCTCGCTACCTTCTGGAGTACTAGAATTGCTGAGGTCTCAGGAAGCTTTTTTTTTTTTTTATTTTTTTTATTTCAGGATATTATGAGGGTACAAACATTATGGTTACACTTTATGTCTTTGCCTCATCCAAGCGCAGGTTAAAGGCATGCCTTTCCCCTCTACAATGCTCCCGTGTCCTTTAGTTGCGAATTTACCCCCTGCAAATCCCCCTAATCCCTGGACAGTATTGCTGCCATGATCACCCTAGTGTTGATCAGTTAGTACCAGTTTATCAGTTAGTTCTGCACTAAGAGCTTCAGAATGCACACTGCCAACCTAGCAACGTTACCGAGCTATGACCCGGAACGGAGTACGTGGAGGGAGGTGTTTGATCTCAATTCCAGTTACCCAAAGTTCACACAGCTTGGCGCATGTTTTATATTAAAAACATCAGCTCAGTTGTCTCGAAGGATATCCTTTAAGATCACCATACTCAAAGAGTGTATTTCACCTTATGGAATAATCTGCTGCCTCTTTTCTTATCTTTGGACCTCTGCAGAGACTGAATGAGAAGACAGCTTTGCAGGTGAGAACAGAGGAGAATTGTTGCTCTGAGATCCCTTATCTCCTTTTACTTCCCCACTAGAGTGGAATGAATCAAAATACTTTGTTGGATGAGGGTAAGAACTTCTGAGCTCATTCATGCTTAGAATGATACTAGGGGAAAAGGAAGCTCTTCCATTTGAAAAACCTCTATCAGGCACCTACTGTATACAGGGAAATATCCTAGATCTGTGAGAAATTCTTGACTGGATAAAGCCATGTTTTGTTTTGAATTGATAAATAATTTTGTTTTGAATCGATAAATAAAAATGGAGAGACTTGGGAGCTTTCCATTTGTTAGTGGGTGGCAGAAAATGTAATAGTTGCTGGAAAGGAGTATGGTGGCTCAGGTGGCATTTATTTAACCCAAGGTGTACACATACTATGAAAACATTACCTCATATAATCCTCTGATAACATTCTAAGCTAGTCAGCTTTTTCCTTGGATAACTGATATCCAGGGAAATTAAGTGCCCTGCATAAAGTCACAAAGGGAGTGGGCATATTTTAGTACAAGGGCTAGAATTCAGACGGGATGAATTATTAGTTTAAAACCATAAAATATAAATGCAATTGAAAAATATCATCTGTAATGCTTCCATAATATTATTTTGTGTTTCCTTCCAAACGTTCTCTTTATATATATAGTATGTAAAAATGTACACACAAAAGACCACTACATATCTAATTAAAATTTATGCACTTTTTCTACCTTTTTGTATTTATTTTAATACTCTCCCATATGTCACCATATATATCCTAACATTCATGTTAATGGGTTTTAGAGTACTAAAATAATGATAAACCACTATTTGTATAAATTATCTTATACAGAGACACTAAGATTGTGTCCAGCATTTACCCATAAGTTAATATTGCTTTACAAAATTTTTCATAGGGCGTTTTTCTTCCTTAAAATTTTTCTCTTTGGATAAATTCCAATTACTGTAATTGCTGTGTCATAGGTTTTGAAGTCCCCTTTACAGGACATTGCTAATTCATTGTCAGTGAAGGAAACCTATCAAAGTACACTAGGCTCCCTTGGGTCTCCTCAGTTTAGAGTTAACTACAATTGTTGAATATCATGTTTGTGCTTTCAAGGTGTTTGTGTACACGCGCAGAAGGTTGTACCTAATGTCCCTGGCAATATGTTATTATTGCGTCCACAATAATCTGGCATTAAACTCTTTGCTTCTTATTTTCATGTAATCTTCTTCTGAGATGCCTTTAGCTAAAATGTCAAATCAGCTTTCAGCAATGTTATACTTCTACTGTTTCGAGATTTTGTGAGACTTGGCACAGGTGCCTCTCTTCTAGTCTGGAGCTTTCTTCAAAACAGTGATTGGTACGAATTCTTATGCCCAGCATATATTTGGCCTTCAATAGGAACTTTGTCTTAGTCCAGTTGGGCTGCTATAAGAAAATACATAAACTGGGTGGATTATGAACAGCATAAATTTATTTCTGGTTTATGGAATCAAGCAAGTCCAAGATCAAGGTGCCAGCAGATTTGATGTGTGGTGAAGGTTTGTTTCCTGATTCGCAGATGGTACCTTCTTGTTGTGTCCTCATGTGGTAGAAGGGGTCCCCTCATGACCAAATCCCCAAAAGCCCCATCTCTTAGTAGCATCATCTTAAGGGTTAGAATTTCCATATATGAAATTCTAGCAGAGAAGCAGCTAGCCAGATTTATTTCCCTAGTATTTATAAACTAAGTACATTGACATCATAAATGGATCGGAGATCATTTAAACAAATGACTAGGAAAGCAGGAAGTAGTAGGGAGGTAAATGAATTTCAAGAACAGAAACTTTATCATGACATAGATAGGATTTTGCAAATTCCAAAGCTGAGTCTAATCAATGTTTGAATCTCTTATAAGAAGAACTTTCTCCATAGTCCCTAACACAAAGAGTTAGTCAGTCCTTCCCTAGACCATAGCAACTAACCTATCCTCTGATACCATCCTCTCATCATTGGCCAGTTAGGCTTCAATCTCCTGTAAGAACCCTCCACTTAGAAGTAATAACTCCCTCTTGTGAAATCTCATAAGAGCTTAGGCAGAACACTCCATGTGGCTATTTGCTACAGCATGTTGTCCACCATTTTTAGTGAGCATGTTATCATTCAATCCTTTTGAAAATTTTGATTGGATACAGTAAGTCTAAATGTAGAAATGCAACTTTATATTACTTAGTAATATACACTATACACATTAGACCCTTAGATTTAGGAATGGGCAAGGTTCAAGAAGAGGTGGCAATTGGGGATAGGGTGACTGAATAAGTTTTAAATATCACTTGATAATAAAAATGAAAAGAATAATGACATAATTTAGACCACATGAAAGTGTTCCACATCAACAAAACTGCTTCAAAAATGTCATGAAATCTACAGCACTGTTTCGCACATATATAAAATAATTAAGTTATTTCTAAGTGGTATTTTTAGTTATGTGCATGCTTTATTTTCCTTACTAGATTATAGGTTCTTAGACAGTAGGAAACATGTCTATGACAGTTTATTCAAAGCCCACAGTTGCTCAAAAAGTTAATCAGAGTAAGTGTATCAGTCAGGGTCCAAACAGAGAAGTAAAAGTAAGAGATTTGTTATGGGGACTCAATCTTATGCAATTATGTGTGCTAGTTAAGCATTTTCTATAAGGATGTTACTTCCAATGTGATACTACTAAAGATTAAAGTACACGGGGAAGGCTGTTAGGAAGGGAAAATAAATTTTAAGTGGAAGAGAGAAAGAATAAGCTGAAATCCACAGCACAAGCTGGAGCTTACAGGGACAGTATGAAACCTTATGAGTTCTTGTTGATTCTGTCCTTGGTAAGATGGGTGTCCTCCCAGGTTCCTCCATTTATGGAGCTGAACACACGTACTTGTCTCAGATGACAAAGAAGCTGAAAGGGGATCCTGGGAACAGTAGAGAACTTTCCAGCCCAGCCAGTGCCTTGCATCAAGGTATGAGTTACAAAAATGGCTGCTGCTTCCATTCTGCCTTCCAAATCTCCTGTAAAAATCTCTCTTCTGGCCCATGCTAACTGGAGATGTGCAGGGAAGGAAATTCCAGGCAATGGTTTTCTGCCTAGGCAAGGTGATACTTTACAAAGTGACTACAATAAGTTCTCAATCAAAATTTCTTAAATGAATGAATGAATGGATGGATAGATGAATGAATAGATTGATACTCAGGTTTTCCAGTCTAGCCACAAAAGTCAATTTAACTTATACTGAAACTGGACCAAAGTATTTATAAATAAAAAACAACCCCAATCTTAGGTAAGGAGAAATTTTATTTAAGAGAGCATTACAAGAGGAGGAACGAGTATTTACCCTCAGATCCTAAGATTCACAAACATCTAAAAGGTCAGGAAGAAAAGTTCTGTTTTCTTCATAGCAAGAATAAACAAGGTTTATGCAATGCCTTTTTTCATAGTAAGGAGAGTTTTCCTGCATACCAGTGTTGGCTCAGGCTGAGGGTGGGTCAAAGGTCAGAGTCCCGTTGGATTGGAGAGAAGCTTAACTAAAGTTTGGTCAAGTTAGCCAACAAGAACTTTGTTCTGATGGAGCAGTGAGGACGAATAGTTTAGTTAACCATTTATGAGGGAGAAATAAATGGGGTGAGGAAGAACCCAGTGTGGGGAAGTGGGATCAATATTTTACCTGAGTTCAGTCTATTCTTGGAGAGTTTGTGTGCTGACTCAGCCTGAGGGATGGAGAGAAGACTGGCCAAAGTTTGGCTAACAAGTATTTTCTTCCCGTTTATCAGTGGAGATAAGCAGTTCAGTTAATCATCTGTGAGGCACAGTATGAGGCTTTGTAGAGTCCGTGTTTGGCTTTGTCATAGGTAAACAAGGAGGACATCTCAGAGTCCTGTGTAAGTCATTTGGGGAAGTATGGGTCCTTGTAGTAAACCTTTTCCAGAACACAAAGGGGGAATGAAGGGATTTTTTTTTTTTTTAACCAACCATTGTTGTTTCTCAGAATCCCAGGCCTTGGGTGAAGTTCAGCATTGTCAATTCCTCGTAGAATTGGATCTATTGAAAAACACTTTGACCTTAACCTTTTGGCCTGCCTTGAGAATTAGCCCCATGAGTCTTCTTTCCACACTGATTTGAAGGGTATTGTTGAGGATTTTGCCTACCATATAGTGACTCCTGAATATGGCTGAACAGGTCTGCTGGAAATAATGTGGAGCACATGGAACTCTCATACACTCCGATGAGTATGTAAAATGGTGCTGCTGTGTTAGAGAACAGGTGGTTTCTTATAAAGTCACACATACACTTACCTTATCACCTTGGAAATGCACTCCAAGAGAAATAAAATCATCTATCCACACAAAGATGTGTACATAAATGTTTATAGTAACTGTATTCATAATCATGAAAAACTAGAAACAACCCCAAATTTCCTTCAACAGGTTAGTGGATAAACAAACTCTGACATATCCACGCAGTAGAATACCACTGAGAAAAAGAGGAATGCACTATTGAAAAGCACTACTGCTTGGATTTGCTGAAAGAAACCTGTCCCCAAAAGATACATAGTAAATAATTCCATTTATTTGACATTCTGTCAAAGGAATATGGAGGAGATCAGAACAAAGGAGTTGAACGCTGAAAGGGGGGCTCTGCCCTGGAAATTGCCAAAGACTCAGCAGGCTCAGTGCAAGACAGAGAGAGTAGCAGCCTCTACTGGGCAGATGTGAGGCAGCGGGACAATGATGCAGTGGGGGCAGCTGGCGGCTGGTTGATTCCGCCCGCTGAACCGCCATCTGCTGACCCCTGAGGAGTCATCCCCAGCGCTGGCTTTCCGTGGGTGGGTGTCCACCATTTACTGGGTTCACAGCCTGCAGGTGCTGCCACATGATGTGGTTTTGGGTAGCATCCCTTCCTCATCCCGGAGACTTTCGCACAGGGCGTGGCAGGCTCCATCCTAGGAGGTGGGGAGAAGTGAGAAGAGCCACTTT